TTTACAGAGGCACTTTGTCAGATCTATCTTGCTGCAGTTCTTATCTGCTGGCTTAACAAACAGATTTTGTGCTAGAAATTAGAGGACTTTTTGGAGAGGTATAATGTAGATACCTTTTCCCTGGTGAAATAGTTTAGAAACGAGTTGTAACTACTGAGGGCATTAAAGTACAATAAAGAGACCACCAATGAAAGGCACAAGTCATGAGGCTTTCAATGAAATTTAAATGTTTTATTATAGTTTTCTTTTATAACTCCTATCTCTCCATCCCGAAGAAAGCAAATGTCAGTTTTAATGAAGTCAGTCAATCCATTTAAAACTAGAAAAACAAATACCAGTGATATTCAAAACACATGCTGAATGTTATTAAATTTAGCACATATTTACTTGACTTAGATTATGAATTTTACCTTCTGGTGAGAGGTCATAAGCAATCTCTTAACACTAAGAAGAGGCATTCACCCTGAACCACCCCCCCAAATACTACCAAATACTACCTGCTGACTAGAACACAAGAAGTTTTTGCTCTTTGTCAACAAAATAATATTTTTCTCCCCTACTCACATAAAACATAAATAGATGGTAGTTAGTGAGGGAAGAGGACCTGTTAGTGCAGGAATATCATATAGTCAATTAAACAGTCATATTATTGAGTGACAAGTGGAAATTTGGTACAACAAAAAATCTGCTGCTTAAAAAAAAGAAATCCAAGTCTCACAGCAAGGCAGCACGTCGGACAACGCTGATCTTCCTATTTTTAAAACAGTCTTTGAAAGACACAGTGTCATGACTGCTTTGATTAAGTTTGGGTAGGCAATTTTTAAATTTAGGGTTTAATTTTTTACGAGGTAATACTTAAAAAATCCCACACAGGACAGAGTGGATGTCTCCATTGGGAACACACAGCTGGCTGAAGGCAGGGCCGGGTTCTGCACGCTTTGGAACACACTGTGCTGAGAATGCATTAGCCTTCAGCAGTCGCAGAATACAGAAAGAAAATAAGGGTAGAAGACCCAAACACAATGGGAGGACTAGTCCAGCAGATCAAAGAATATCTCTAGCAGAAAAAAAAACAGGCCACATTTTCTCCTGACATGAGGGGAGTCACCAACCCCCAACTCTCAAGCTGCTCTACCAAGGCAATGCCACCTTTGGCCTGTTCTAACACGCACCTCGCTGATCCTGCAGTGACAATTCAGAAGGTATTAGCTGGGCACTCTGAACCATGGGAACTCTTCTGAGAAAATATGTATTTATTTTTATAGTATACAATAACAAACACCCACTTAATTTTAGTCAAAAAGGCTAAGAGGCTTCAATGACAAATAAGAGGGGGAAAACGATACTCCAGAAAAGCAAGGTGATTTCAGAAGCTAGATTCTCAGTCATTAGATTAGTTTAAACTACTTTCAGCATTCAAAAAATACAGGGAATTACTTTTTTTGGGGGGGGGGTTAACTGTATTGATTCAATTAATTCAACAAAATGATTAAGTGAAAATAATAAACACATGCCAGGGCAAACAATGAGATCAAATGCTGTCCACCTTGCTCACAATGCCAATAACTGCAAGTTATCTCAAAATACCATCTGTTCTCTCAGAACATCTTAACAGATACCAACATCTGGAAGCAAAAGGGATGTGACAGAGATTACCAAAACAAAACAGTCAAAAACATTCTCTATGATCACCCCTCAGTGCAGGCTATGTAGAACTTTTGGACTAGACGAACTCTAAACTTTCCTCCCAGTCTGAGCCTTCCTATAACCAAGAAATAAAATTTAGTCTGGTAATTAGGTTTTCTGGTTAATCTATATTTTTTATTTTTGACTTACAGCTAAATAGTAAAGCTGCATTTGCCCGTATACCTCACGTAAAAGTTGCTGTCAGTGCACAGCAGCACTGAGGTTCTTAAATTGTAAAGATCCTCTGTCAAATACAGCTCAACTTTGCTTGTCTTGAACTTGTCATTTATAGAAGAGGGACCAGGCAGGCAGCTCTTAGGTTTTCTCCATGCAATATCTTTTGTACATCATTGAGATGACAGATAACAGATCAAAAGGCTCAAACTCCTCATAATAGCAACTAGAAGGATAAACCAGAGACCCTTCTTCACATGACAGGACTAATAGTTCAAAATTATACAGCTAAAATCACACATACAAAAGTATTCTACAACAATTTTTGGATACCACTTCACCAGACAACTGAAGGTATCATTATTTTCTGTCAATACCACTGCAACAGCTCCTACACTCCATGTGCACCACCAGGACCCCAGCACAGTCCAAACACTGCCACAAACCCACAGAACTAGAAGTGGAACAGAAAGTCACCGAGCTTTACAAATGACATGTTGTACTCTCGTTTTGTGTTGGTGGTGCACAAACTCGAGCGGGGGAGCCACAACACCCCTCTGCCGTACACAGATCAGCTATGTCATCTAACCCATCACAGCTGGAAATGCAAATAAAACGTACTGTGCTATTCCTGAATATTAGTGATGCTTCCTATCAACTGTTGTTTATCCAGTTGCTTTTTTCAAGCAGAGTTGGCTGTGCCTGTGGCTTTATGCAACCCTCAGCATTTTCACATGCCCCCTGCCTTTCTGAGATCTCAAGGTAACAAGAGTTGGAACTCAAGCATCTTTCCTGTGCAAAGCTTGTCTTTGAAGTACCTCAGGGTATTTTACTCAAAGCCATGAATTGTAACTCCACTTTTCTCTACATTTTGCATTACTAAAACTTAAGTACATCCAACTATTAACTAGATAATTATATCTTTTTAATATTAACTAGAAAGTTAATGAATTACTATACAGTCTATTTAAATGGGACAGCAACAGATGAAGAAAAACTGATAAACTGTCTCTGTAGAGTGGTGTGAATTCTTCCTAAACAAAAAAACAGACTGAGGGCCAAGATACCAAACAACCTGACAATTCGTGTCACACAGGCACTGAAGACTGAGCAAGAGAATTACTGTCATTCAATTCCTGATATACAACAAATCACTGAAAAAAATATGTAACACCTCAGTTAGAAAACTGTTAAGGATTTGTAAGACCATTACAAAGATGAAGGAAGTCTTACATTCTCAGCATGTCTCCCCTTTTCAGAGGACTGGGCATCCCTTTCTGTACGTCTACAGGCATGCATAGGTCTTCACAGACTAAAGCACAGCAAAATCACTTAATATATCACTTAAAAATCACCACTTAAAAAACTTAGCTGAAATAATCTGAACTCCATACCAGGTCTTCTCATTACTTTAAGATCACCTGTTTAATTTTCCATGTCCCTTTTACAACTCTTGAAAATGCGAGTTCTGAAGACCATATACACTCAGGACACTTAGTATATTAAATACTGTTCTCCTAAACGAATAAGAAGTTGCAAAACAACTCACTGGTTTCATATAGAGAGTACTTAATAACTACCTAAAAGCACCTTCAGCAAAGCATCAGTCCCTCCCCCTTCCCCTAATCTCTTACTACTTTTTGAGCATTTCTGCACACCAACGTTTTTCTTTTGTATTACTACAACATCCCACTTACATCACTCCCACATATTTGCCTGGTTCAACCCTCCTGTATGGATGAGAACACTTTTTTTAAAGCCCATTGCCACATCAAGCACAGGTACAAATGCATGCTCTAAAGGTATCCAAGCCCACACATTCTTCTCTTCTATCAGACACAAACTTTGGCACCCTTTGATTCAGATATTTCTGTCACCCCACTCTTCTCACTCACTCTGGTTATTTTGTCAGCATTTTTCCCCATGTTCTTGGCCCTCTGACATTTTTTCAGAACCTAAACATCACAGCCACGAGAAGAACCAAATGCATGGTGGGCTCTATGTTAAACCATTACACAGAGGAATGAATTGTCTGAGTGGCCTTAGGAACTAAAATGCAGGTCATTTTTAGGCCATTTTTCATCCTTATGAGCTATGAAACAACCAAGCCATTAACATCAGTGACATCTACAAAAAACACAAAACATGTATCACTGCAGTAATTTTTTCCCCCTTAGTACCATATTTAAATGTCTGTTCAAGACACTTGACCTTTTATTATCCTGTTTTTCTACTACACTAATCCTTCCCTGTCAAAACTAGTGCAAGCTTCAAACAGTCATTTTCCCATCAGTCTCCTTTAAAAGCACAAAAACCTCCTAGTGCCAGGTTTATTGCTCATCTTATTACACGAGGCTTTTACTTTCGATTACGGGCAAACAGATTTCTGGAAAGCTGGTCAGTGTACTCCCTGGGAGAAAAGCAACCATGTTTGATACATGAATTGCTAGCACTGATACAGTTCTAATCTAAACTCTACAGAAGACTGCATAACGCTGCTTTGAAAACCACAAACACAAACCTCAAGCCACCTTCAAGTGGAAAAAATGACAGCTATGTTACACCAAGCAAGCTTTCTTCTAAAAACCGTGTGTATGACTGTAACAGAAGAGTACAGTCAGAGCTCAAACAGAGCAATTAATTTCCAGGTCAGTAACTCTTGGTATTGGACCAAACTAGTGAGCACTGTCAAGCTGGCACTCAGACCATCACCACAAGCTCTGTGCTTCAGACACAGAACTGGGAAAATCTATGGGCCATGGGAAATGAGGTCAGGGAAGAAACAGGGAAAAAAAGAAAACAAAAATTTTTATTCTTTTTTTTTTTTTTTTGTAAAAAGTGATGCAAGAACTTAAACAAATCATGAGTGGGACAGAAGCTTTAACCATTAAAATCTAAAACCCTAACTAATGTAAGCTCTCGTACTAACCTGGGCAACATCTGCGATGCAAGGTAATGGCAGTGAGTGGAAAAAGTTATTTTACAAATATATTACTTCGAAAGAATTTCTCTTTTAGAGAAAACGCAAGAGGAACAATGCTGGACGTGGCAGGAAACCGGCCAACACTTCAAATGAAAATAGTCAAACTCGATGTATTTCCCTGCTAAAGCAGCACAGCCTCGGCCGCCTGGTTTCCTTCGCTCGCTCTAACACTGCACAGCAAGTAGTGCCTGTGGGGGGGGACAGGCACCCTCACCGCTGCCTTTTCCAAGTGCTTCTCGTCGCCAAACGCATTTCACGGACGTTTTCTTTCCATTTCTCGTCACTTCCAAAGCCTTTGCACGCACAGAGCGGCTGCAAAGCTCTCAGGGACCGGGAAATAAACGAGATGAAAGCACGTCGGGTTAAAGAGCCTTGAAAAGATTTCGCAACGGGAAGGAGGAAGAAGCTGCGAATCTCTGAAGTGCCGGCCCAGGGAATAAAGGCACCGTCATTCCTCTGGGAAGTTTTGGGGAGCCCTTCCCAACGAGAGGGGCACAGGTAAGGGGAACGCGCTGTCCCCTGTGACAAGAGGGGGCTCGAGAAAAGGAAACAGAAAAAAAAAATCAAAAAACAAACAAACACCGCAAAACCTCCTATAAAAATAAAAATATAAAAGTAATGTTTTTAAAAATGACAATAACGATGCAAGTGCAGCCCTTGCGGGGGGAAGGCTTCCCCCCTCTCCCGCACCCCGGCCCTGCTCTCACGCTGCCCCCCGACCCCGCGGCCCGCGGCCGAGCTGGGGCTCCGCCGGGCCGGGGAGTGCGGGGGGCTCGGGGGGGGAGGCACCTACCAGCTGCTGCCGGACCCAGCGCAGCATCCCCGGCGAAGCGGGTCGCGGCCCCCGCGGCGGGGCTCCCTCGGCACTGCCGCGCCCTCCGCTGTCGCCGCCGCCTCAGGCGAGCCGCCCGCCGCGGCTGCTCCCCATGGCGCGGGGCCGAGTCAGGAGCGGCACAGCCCCGCCGGCGCGGCCCCGAGGAGCCGCCGCTGCCACCGCCCCGCCGCCGCCGCCATCTCAGCGCGGCCGCTCAGAGCCGGCGGTCCCGGCGCTGCGGCCGCCCCGGGAAGTGACGTGTCGGGGCGGGGGAGGCGGGGAGAGGGGCCGGGGTGAGGGGTGGCACGGAGGGTGCAGGGCGGCAGTGGTGGTCCGCCCCGGGCTGCGGGTGGTCTCCATCGCTTCACTGCCCCGAGGTGCCGCTTCTGGGTTGCAAGGGCGGTGCGTGGGCCCGAGTGACCCGAGTTCCAGCAGCCTCCTGCAGGGATTTGGGCGAAATCCCACCTCCCTGTCAGGGCTCGGCGCCCTCAGGCAGAGCCTCAGCGCCTGAGACTCCCCTTTTCTACCGAAGTGAAGCTGCTTCGCAACTTGATTGTTTTATCTCTTTGCTTTCTTGTAAAAAATGCAAAGCGTGCACGTGTTGGAATAAAGAGGCTAAATAGCCGCTGGTTTGAAGTTAAACACAAGTGCACAGTGTCTGGGTATCCCAAGGCAAGGAACAGGTGCTGGGAGGATCTGGCGCCCTGCTCTCTCCCTGCTGCTGGCAGAGTTGTCATGAACTGCTGCTTGGTTAAAATTGGGTGTTGAAACGTGTTGTCGGGCAGTGATTTCTTTGAAATCTTCCACTGGCAGAGGTCTTCCCAGCTGGATGTGTTCGTGTGTCACCTCCGGGTGATTCTGCCTTGGCCAGGGGGGTTGGATTAGATGATCACAATTCTGTGATTCTGTGATTTTGCTCTGAAAACAGCTGCTGCTTAAGAAAACAAAACTCTGTTCAGCACCAAACACTTGCAACACAACGATACTAGTCTGCAGCTTTTGGGCCTGTGTGACTAAGAGCCAAAGGAGATTATTTTAAGCAGTAAAGACCTGAGCATTTGTGACCAAATGTAGTTCTCAGTGAAGCCCATGACGACTTTGACACTGACTTAAAGGGAAGTGGTTTTGTGTGTGAAGAGTACTGTTCCTGTTGTTCCCATTTGTTCCCAGGGAATTATGATATACAGCAACGAGTCATAATTGTATCTGCCATAGTGGTTAGTGTTCAGTTAAAAATTTAGAACATAATTCAGGATTAAAATAGATGATATAATGTCTGAACAACTAAATCTTGTGCTGAGTGCTGATGGTTTAAGCATCTGCATTTAATTAGAAAAATAACATTAAAACAGAGGGGAATAAAACTATTTTTATCAGGCACTTTGGAAAGCTCATGTTAACAAAACTCTGTATCAAATGCTAGGCATTATTTAAAAACATTTAAATACATCAAAGCTGAGTTTCAAACAGCTTGCACTACCCTATTCATCTAATGTGAAGTCGAAAATAACAGTGATTTCATAGCTATGGCACGTTGCCTGGAGAGTGGCCTTAAGCCAGAAGCTTAACTGATACACTCAATATTCATGCTCCTTCTTTATCATCAGATGTAGAACAGGGTCCTGACCACTACACTAAAATTTGTATGCCTTTTCTCTGAAGTGCAAGTATATTTGTCTGTCCCTCTCCAATTCAAGTATGAGTTGCACTTTCTGCAAGGCTCTGTTTCCATGGCTTGCAGTTGTGTTACATAAGCTGCTTTGCGCTTTCTGTTCCACATTGCTGTAATGATACTGTTTCACCAGACAAAACTTGGAAGCAATTGGCAAGTGATTTGAACCCTGCAGTTCGTATTTTTACCTTTAAGAAGTATGTATCTTAGTGAATGAAAGTATATTGATAGGATGATATTATTTTGCTGCATGCAAGAAATTTGCAGCAGCAAATTTCCACCAGAATAACATCCTTTCCAAGCATCCTGCCCAGTAGAACCTTGCACCTTTTAAATTGTCTAAAAGCTCACACTAGACATTTATGAAGTTTCATCTCACCCTTGAGAGACAAATAGTTTTCGGAGGAGAAAATTGAAGCAGAGCATTCAAGCCAGATATTGATTAGACAGTAACACTCCAGCACTTCTCAAATCAAAGGTCAACTGTATTAAGAATTAAGATTCTCACATCAGAGATCCCACTTTAAAATACTGCCCTGAAGTCTCACCTGCATTCACACAGCTGGCTTATACAGAAAAAAAAAAGCAACTGCTGAAGAAAAAGTCACCTTCTGATATGAAGATTAGGTTTAACCCATCACTAAGGCTCTCTTAATGAGACTCCAATCTTCCCAGTTAAGTATCTATGAGAGCAATGATTTCAAATGTTTGTTTAGCAAGATCAGGATATAAATGTTTTCTGATACAAAAATGCGTACACAAACATAAAAACACACACTTAAATGTTAGGTTCAGCAAGCTTTTAATTAGATGTGCATGAGTAATTCTTATGTAATGAATGGTGCTACTTTTGGGTTTGTAAAATTAAGCATCGGTAACCACAGAATCATTGCCTGAACACGCAACCGTCAAATTGACATTGGGGGTGCTGATGTCACTCCCCGAGCTTGTTCCTGTGCAAGACATTCACGCATTTCCATTATTCTTGAACGGTGTTTTGGGGCTATTCTTCAGCAGGAGCTGGTGAAGTGCTGTCATGCTGTGTGACCACATTTAGTACAAGATGAGATGAGATGGAAGTGCAGCACTGATGCCAGAGGGTGAGCTGCCCCCAGCATTTCTGCCTTTGAAACTCTGAAGTGCTTGGTAGCTGAACCCTTTCACCTGTCACATCCCTCGGTGAACCAGCCCCATCCCAGGTTCCCAGGTTACTGCTGCAGTGCAAATGGGGCACCTGATATCAAAGGGGATGGTGTGCTCTGGTGCTCTGACATTGGGGCAGCCCAGGTCTTGTGCTGCAGCTGAAAAACACCTCTGTCCTTTGGGGCTAAACAGAAAAACAGCAAAGCCTAAGAGGTGCGGAGCAGGGATGGAGGTTTGTGCAGCAAAGAGCAGCAATACTCCTTACAGTACACTGTCTTCCTGATGGAGAATTCATCTCAGTCATTATTTTGGTTTTAATTAAATGTAATTTCTTTAAATGAGTATTTTAATCTACTCATTATTTACTTACATAACTATGGTGCTAATTAAAAATGTGTACTATAAAAATGCCTGTTTTCTTTCTAATCCATAGAGACAAAAAGCTGCGTGAGAGACACAGGGTTTCTTCAAGGCATCTTTCCACAAGCATTCATTTACTGGCTGAAGCATTATATATAGATAATAAGTGGCTGATTTTCAGTCACAAGGCCCTTCATCTAAAGACACATGGGAATTCTTACCTAGAGCAACCAGTCTTCAGGGAAAAAGTAAAAGCATTAGAAAATGAACTGAACTTTTTAAAGGAAAACCTTGTGTGCAGTTTGTCACTCCTTTTTTTGTGCCCTGCAAGAAATAGGATCAGATTAAATTGCAGGATGCACAAGGTGACATTTCCAAGACACTTACTGGATCTCCACAATAATGCATTATTTTGTTATTTCTTCTTACCCTTTCTCTCAATTGCTAAAACCTGGATCCTGATGTAAAACCTCACCTTTCCGTTACTGTTTTTTTCTTCTCACTTGAGAGCTTTGTTTGCAGTGTAGAGCTTCAACTTCTACCCAACACATTCAGCCCAATAGAGCTGGATCCCGGAGTGCCAGGTGAGGGGCTCCATGGGGCACACAGAAGGTCAAACCCGTCAGTCCCCTTCACACACACACAAGACTTTGCACTGCACCACACTGCATGAAAAGATGCTCTACACTTACCTCATCTCCTGGCAGTGTGGAATAGCCTGGCCTGCTAAATGCAAGTCAAGATCAGTGCAACCCATTTTGCAAGGCCCCAGGATAACAGCAAGCTGTGGAAAACATAATAGTTCGTCTTCCCTTTCAGCCCCACTGTTAACTTTTTAATTATGTGTTACCTGTAGGCCACAATGTTTGGCTTGTGGCTTTCTCTAGAACTGTTTTGTTTTCTTTTTCCCCAGGGAAACTGCCCATGATTAGACAAAAGAGGAAATCTTGAAAAGCCATCCCTTATCTTCATAAAGCTGAGCATGACCAGGATGAAGAATAAACCCCTGTTTGCTCATGCCCCTTTTTTCCTTTCTTCTGTTTTTTTTAAGGGAAGAGATGAATTTTTGAATCCACAGCTCATAAAGTTTGGAATGTCTCCAATGGTCCTGTCTTGATGGAAAGTGCAAAACGAAAGTTTAGTGAGGAAATGCGTTAAGATAATCAGTTAATTGTTATTATATCCTGGACATTGACATAGGTTTTCTATGTTTTAAACTTGGATATCCTTATAAAATGTGATTTTTTTTCCCCAGACTTTATTTAATGATTTATAAAAATACACTTTTTCAACTAATTCATTCTTATCCTCATCCTGTTATAACAATTTCCTTTTCTAAGTTATAAGCCCAAGTGATTATTGACATTCACACATCCCTTCATGGTTAATCTTAGAAAAAGTACCAGACAGAAAAGGATGCAAATCAATGTCGGGATTTCTTAATAAACACTCATAATATATGGGATTTATGGGGAGTTTTTTTTTCCTGCTTTCACCTCGTTTAAGACCATGGAGTGCATAAAGAAAGATTCAATCCTGGAGAATAAACACAGGGACTAGCATCTAGGTCCCTTGACACTGGTCTCCTAGGACACTACCATGACAACTGTAATACAAACAGTTACACACCTGGATATGTTCCTTTGGAATGGAGTTTGAGAACTTTGTGGGAAAGGAACACAGGAATTCTGTTCATGGCTGTACACTCTCTCTTGGCTTAATAAGCTTATTCCGAAATAGTGTAACATCTACGATATGGAATATTCTCCAGGTAGTGGGAGGTAGGATTTCAAACACCCTCATGTAGAACCTCAGTATCCCGCGTCTTGGAGGACAAAGTGCTGAATTGGATAGAGAGCTTCTGAGAGAGCCTTCTGGTTCAGACTTTACAAGTCACGTAAATCTCTGTGGGATTTAGTTATGAAGTAAGCTTGTCATAAATAACATAATGTAACATATTTTTTATCTTTCCAGGCTTCAGCTTTTTAGTATTTGAGCTAGCTCATATAAAGCCAGCTGACATGTCCCTATACTGCACTCCAGTTATGAGGTAGATATTCCTGGAGGTGTTCCTTGCTGTGCTGTTGGCTGGGTTGTAGCCAGCTTGAACGCTGAAAACCCAACCTGGGTGCAGATGATCTTACCTCTCCGAGCAGCAACCCGCTGTGATTACATGAGCTCCTTTTCAAGGCTCCTCCCTCACTAGTAAAGGCAAAAGAATTTAGGAGAGCCTTAATGTAGCACTCCTAAATTGGGAAGCAAATAGTCCCCACCATTTAAATATGTGCATCAGTGTTAAGTGCTGGGTATTACCCAATATCAGTGAGTTTGCCCCTTTTTCAATAGTGTGAGAGATTGAACTGGTGGACATGACTTTGGCCTGTCTGGGTTACACAAATGCCTCGAGAAACAAGGCAGAGACAGTTTTGAGGGGCAAGACAGACACTTTGGAGAGGTGAAGAAAATTTCAGTGCCTCATCTAAAACTGATACAGCCACCTTGGGCTGTAAAGGACAAAGTAGAAAATCTTTGCCAATGTTGGCCATGAGCACAGGTTTCAGATGTACCAGCGGGAAGGAGAAGGTCTTACCGATCAAGACAAAATCATTAGCTTGCACTTACTCAACACTGGTGAGGCTGTTCATTAGTATAGCTGTAAAAGCAATTTTTGCTAACAGAGATGCATTTTATACAGCAAAAGGGTTAAGCAAAAGCATTTACCAAACAGAATAAACTGGCAAAAACACTTCTTCCTTCCAACACAATGTTTAGAGTAAAGTTTTGGCACTTCAGAAATTGTAGATTAATCACATCTCTGGCTGGTATTTATGATGAGACCTATCTTTCCACCTGCTTTTCTTTAACCACCATCCTTCCTACCTAAACCACATGTTAACATGTGAGTTTATAACCCACTCCTTATATCCAGGCAAATCTCCTGTGTAGGTGTGTCCACCAGCAATGCTGTGCTGGCTCCAAGCAGTTCCTGACAACAGGACAAATTGTGTATCATATAGGCAGAGTATATGTAAAGTCTAATGAGAAATCATGGTACCACTGATTCCAAAACAGCTTCCCATTTCACTTCTGGCTAAGCTTCAAGAAAAGTCATGTAGGCTCAGGGTTTTGAAAACCTGTCTATAATTACAGAGTCAAACTTCATTATAGAATGAATAAAACCATAGGAAGTATTTAGCACTTAAACTCAAGCTTTATAAATCTGAAGCTGGATACTCAAAATCTGAGAATGTGCGTGTGTATATTTATTATTTTTTAAAAATCCCTTTGTGGCCTACTATTCTAGAAGTAGGGTGCGATAATCTACCATGCAGGGATGTCTGTGGTCTCTGCAGACAAAAAAAAAGTAGCTGTGAACATGACAGATGATGTTCCTGCAGCCATATGAGACAAACAAACATATGGCTGCTCTGTCTGAAGTTCCTACAATGCTTTATGTCTTCAAAGTGTAGCAAAACATTGCACGATTAACATAATTGAAGCATTTTACAAATGATTCGTAATTATTTTTGCAAATGTAAATGATGATGCTGACGTGAAGTTTTTTGCTGTGCATGATGAATACTGAGTTCTCATTTTACTGAGTACTGTAATCAAATTTAGAACAAACGTTATATAAGTGCATAAGCAATCCTAATCCTAATCCCTTTTCTGCTGTCTCACTTTCTCCATCTAGGCCTGCTGCAGCTGTAAATCTATAAATCTCCCATATTTTGTGATTTCCTCGCATATTTTTATTTTTTGTTTCCCAATCTCCTGTCTTGTTCTGAAAGCATATATTTTTAGTTGGTAATGGTTCTAATGGAATGAGAAGCCTTCTACCAGCTTCCTGTACTGTATATTTGATCACAGCAAAGGTCCTTTACTGATGCTATTGCTGTAAGATGTTCAGCCTCACCCTGCTGAAGCACCTATTGGAAGAAACCTAGAGGTCTTTAAATATTTTTTACTCTGTCTTTAGTTGAATGTCTATTGTTTTCACTTTTTTATTAATATCAGTAGAAGTTGGCCGAGGGTATGTCAACAATGCATAATTCAAAGTAGCCAGAAGATATCAAAGACAGCTATTAACAAACCAGTTGGTAATAAATCAGTTCTAGCTTTGGAACACTAAATTCCCTGTGGGCAACCTAACCCTGTTTCTGATTTTACTCTAGGATTTGTGCCACTGGTATAATATGAAATTGTTTCACAGGCTCCATGAAAAATGGCCAGGAGGGACAGTATCCAGTGCAGATTTAAATGCTAGGCTCAGAAAAACAAGGGAGGGAGTGCTAGTGATTTTGTTTTGTGATACATTTCCAGGAGATGTTTTGGAATTTACTGGCTTAACAAATTCATCAAAAACTTTTTAAGGTAATCCCCATATCAATTAAAAAATCTTATGACAATTATAATTTTTTTTTCCAAATCACTTTTATTGAACTGTATCTTTTACTTGGAATATTTCTAAGGGTGCACATTAGCAAAAGATAACTATTACAGCTGAGTGGTTCATAGCATATAATTTATCCAGTTAATTTAATTTCTTTGTATTTGTCTACAAATTGCTTATAATTTTATGTAATTAATTCTTTATGTGAACCTAATTGCTAAAATAGCTGTGAGATCGTCCAGCTGAAATAAATAGCAGGCTTTTCATTGAATTGAGTGGGAACAATGCTAGGCCACTGGAGATTTATCCCTCCTCTGTAGATCTTACTGAAGTTATTCTTGGGAAGTGCTGAAAGAATGAGCTATTTCACATTTGACATATTATTCCTTCTACTTCTTACTTGCTAAAAGAGAAATCATTCTTAAGCAGAGAAAATGCACATTTATAAATTGGTGAATGAGACCTACAAATATTCTCCAATTTTATTTTATTTTTTTTATTATCATACTTCCCATGAACCTACTTGTTAAAATATATCTGGACAAAACCCAACACAATCACTGTAAATGTATTTACAAATTGAAATTTATATTTATGGTAATTTTTTTGTGTGTGTTATCCACACAGATTACCTAAGTTTTGCCTTGCATAACTAACCTTTAGTGACACAATTGGCAATATTATCTGGTCAGAGGCTAAAAGAACACATGCAGTCCAAACCTTAGTGCCTGTCAATGGAAATAAGATCTCAGGTGTCTGTCTTCTTTTCCAGTTACATTGATCAGTTTAATTACTGCTATTGCATTCTACACAACTCATGCTTCTTTCACAACCAGGGATATAAGCATCACAATGATAGTGGTAGTGACATGATTGCTTGTATTAATTATATGAAGACTTCAAATCTAATATGAGATTATAGTTAATAGTAAAGTTTCTTGACTGATGAATTTACTAGCCACTGGATAATTTACAGGTTCCTTGGCAGGTACTACCATACCTGCTAAAATGTAAGAGAACAGCTCAGCATATAGTATTTATGTTATTTGATGACGAGCCATTGCAAGCAAAACAGCATTTCATGTTTTTTAAGTTAATATATTTCCTTCTGTTTTGCTTATCCCCAGTTTTGCTTCTTCCACAAAAAAATATATTCAAATACTTCAGTATCACTGACATCAGTTGTGAGTTAAGCAACTGTTTTCTAGAAAATAAAATGGGCAGCAGTTTTCCAGCTCCACACTGCTGCCCAAGGCCTGCTGCACCAGCCAATCCTGGTCATCCAGCTGCTCCTAAAAATCAATTACAAACGCTCAATATTCCCCAAAGCATTACATTCTTCTGAACTTCTAACCTAGATCTGCTTCACCAGAAGGTAAATTTTTTTGCTTCTTATCCTGGCCCAAATATGAGGAACAATACTGAGCAGTACCTTTGTACTATCTGAAAATAGTCCTTCTTTAACCTGCAGAACACCCAGTTTCCTTAAGTTTTTCTGATGAAATCCATGGTTATTTTTGTTGCTCTCATCTGGACTTTATCCAGTTGGCCACCTCCTTTCTGAATTGACAAGTACCAAACAGAGCTTGTACTTTAACTGAGGCCTTATCTGTGCTGCACGCAGTGGAAAAATAATTTCATTTATCTCACATGTATTTGTATAACCCATAACAAGATATGGTGTGTTTTTCCCCTATAGCTATTACACTGTTGACTCCTGGCAAATGCATGCTTTTTTTTCTGGCAGGCCAAATCAGTCACTTTATATCTAATGTTCAAGCAATTATTCTTAAGTAATTCCTATTTTTTCATTGACCGTTTTTTTTTAGCACCGCCCAAGCTATTTATCTTTTTTACCAAGATTGTTTTGAATTTGGCTTCTCTCCTTCAAAATTCCTCCCAGGTTGTTATCATCTGCAAATATAATAACACAGTATTCCCTAATCCAAATACTTAATAAAAATGCTGATCAGTATTGGACCCAGAACAGATTCCCATGAGAAGCAGTCTTCAATTTGCACAATGAAAATGGATTTCAGCAGCACTAGCTCTCATTATTAACATGGATTTGAGTTATCCTTAGAAAATAGATAGTTTCCAGTGCACCTGACTTGCATGGCTGCCCTGGAGCCCTTCTGGAGCCAAACAGGATTCTGGGTTAGTCAAAGAATTCATTACAGAGCCCACAGATGGCACAAACAATTGTTATCGAACCGCATTAGCCCTTTGGAGAAATGCCACCCGCAAGTACCCGAAAGTGATATGGGCAAAGTGCATGGTCCAACTTGTACATTTTTAATGATATTCTGCAAGGTAAATGTATACAGTGCCAGCTGAGTTTGCCCTTCTGCATGTTGCCAAAAAGATACTGCAGGTGACCCAGAAAGTACAGCAGTGAACAGCTGAGGTTAGAGCGTCTACATCATTGCAGCGCTTCTTTATGTTCCTTTTTCACTCCTCATTTTATTGCAGTTCCAGCTCTGGTGTTGGGCTGATGGTGTCCTCAGGACTACAGATCTTGTCTATAAAACCACTGTGAAAGCCACCCCAAAGAGATGTGTTCCCGTCTGTCTGTCTGCCTGTCTGTTACAGTGGTCAAACAAGTAAGTATTTCTCATCAAGTTTTGAGAAAAAGACCAGAAAAATTGAAGCACTCATGGATATGTTCAAAATTTATCAACACCAACCCAGACAGGATTTACTTATTCTTAATATATTTTTCTTTCTCAAACTTACCCAACTTCCTATTTGAACATGTGTGTCTTGGAGCTGAATAAGGAACTGGGGATTTGCCTGTGTGAAGGCACACATAAATTGAAGGAAACAAGCACCTTCTTTTGAAGAAAAGGCGGTTACTCAGAGAAATATCTGTAAAGAAAGAGTATTAACTCTTTTATTTCAGATTTGAGGATCTAATTTTCATTCTGAGATTGAAGCACAGTACTAACAGTATAATTTAGATATCAGATTTATCTGTTCCCTTCTGCTGCCAGCCTGTATTTGGTTTCAGCGTTCTGATGTTGACTATTAACCTATTTAAATATTCATCAACAGCCTTCTGCCAAGGTGGATTAATTCACCATCTCGGGACGCTGTCAAGCTGTCAATTTGTCAGATATTTTTCAGTTGCCAGTGCCCTTTATAGTGACAATGATGGCACACATATAGCTGAGAAACAGTTTTTCTGTTGGTATCTCCTGCTATAGAAAAGCTCTCCAATATTTGAGTGGGTAAGGATTTCTGTCATGGCAGGTCTGAAAAATAGTCTTTTAACCAGAAAGCAAGAAGTGTGTATGGAAAGGAGCTGATGTACCATTTTGTTTGATTTATGGCAGTGAGGGCCTGTATGAACACCAATATGAAAGTTGCCTCTGAAGCTAAAGAAACACTGTCAGTTTTTATACCCACTGTATTTTTCATCCAAAACCATGAATAAAAGACAATTATATTAATCATGGAAGGATTCTGGCTGTCCCTTCAATGATGGCCAGAATTAAGCCCTTGTCAGTCTTTGATAGTATACAGAATCATGAATTTATTTACTGAATCACTAATCATTAATTAAAATGTAATATTTATTTAATATAACATTGTTTATGTTATAATTCTTACCAGTGCCTTAAGAAAAGCCCAACCAGATTTCTTTTGGTTACCTCAACTTTTAGAACATCTTTCTGGGGGACACTTTAATCAGAAACATTCAAGACATATTGCTGCAGCTGATGATTAGTATATTTTTCATGATGGAAATGAATTCAGCTGCACCAAGTACACAAAGTTCCTTTTATAGCTCAAGTACTTCCAGCTTCCAAGTGAGCGTTAAAAACACAAATTAAATAAAAAAGTTTTCCAAAGCAAGGAAACTCTGTTGAAATGTATAGAGACAAATGTTTATTTTTGTATTTTGGAGGCATTTAGGAGTGCTAGTCCTCCAGGAAGAAGTCTAGGTAAGTATCAGTGGAGTTACAACAGGGATGTAAATGGAATGAGGATGAGGCCCTTGGGCTTTAGGTCAACATAGCACAGCAGAAAGGGATTTTCCCTCTCTGAGACGTATCTGATGTGGAGGGCAAGCAGAACGTGCCCCAATATGACAGCAGGTCAGAGCCCATGGTACTTCATTGCAGCCACAAGAACCCCAGAAAGGCACCTCCAGAAAGTGGTACCCCCAACATGGCCTTTTCAAGCTCAAACATCTCTAAATGCATCTCCAAGGACATGCACACAAAGACTTAGAAGAAACTCTGGCTTTAGCGAGAGCTTTGGCTGGATATTGAATTTTCTCCCTAATTATGCAGAGGCCCTGACTCTTGACACCCACTGACTTCCAGCAGCTTCATTCCAACTCTAGCAAGAACACCAATTTTCATTTAGTTAAACACAGTAGAAACTGAAAAACATTTAATCTGTGTCTAAAAAGTCTCATAGTCCAGATTAATAGCTGTGTTAAAAAAGATGAACACACACAGATTTGCATAGTTAAGCTGGGCAGATAACCTATCCCATTTGCTAAAGGCAGTTTGCATACAGTGATTGATTTCAATGTAGTCTGCAACTCTGTTGAGCAGGTGCTGTATTAGCAGATATGTCATTAAATAAATATGACACAAATGTAATTCTACACACGGGGATGCTTTCACAAGGCTTTGGACATGTTACAAATTGGTACACAGATAGACTGTACTATACAAGATCAGATAGCTGAGGCAGCAGCCTGTACTGTATACACTTCCACTCTGCTAGCAATGTAATGGTGCTGCTGGGTTAAGTGTAAAAAAAGTCCCTCAAAGATCTCTATTTCCTGCAGAATAATTTATCTTTTTTCTTTTCTTTTTTTTTTTTTTTTTTTTTTCAGTTTTAACAAAAGCTGATCAACAGTGTTTGAATTGGAGAGAAGAAAGGAAGGAAATGATGTGTGGACAGGGAGAGTCAATCATCTGAAAGATCAGTTCCAACAGATTCATGGAAATTAACCTCTTTCATCATCATCAGTCACCAGTGATGCTCCTGCAGGCCCTTGGCTACACAAACAAGGACTGGGCAAACCAGGAAAATTCAGGACCAAAGTTAGTGGGGTGCACATTATTTTAGCACCCAAACTGAGTTCCAGGAGAAAAGCCAGTATGGTCAAATAATGATTTGTGTTTGTTTGCATTTTTTGTTCATAATTAGTCCATATTGCTGTGAGTTGGCTGTACCAACAGAGCATTTCCTGAGGGACAACTAGTCCCCATCCTTCCAACGCTTCCATTACAGGAAAGATGGTTCTGGCAAAAGTTAACAATACTTGACAGAATAGATTTTTAAGTCACTGGTGTTTTATTTGCCTCAGTAAGCAGATCTGCTACACAGAGGTGCTTTTCTGAGGTACTTCTCATACACCAAGAAGTGATTCAGTTTCTCTTTAGGGTCTTCACCGGCCTGGTGAGTTGGGAGATTAGGGTTTTGTGTCTCATCATAGTGTTGTTTTCATTATATTCCCACTGTTCATTTTTTAGTGCTCTCTTCAAGAGCTGATAAAGAACTACAAAGTTACTGTTAAAGCATTTATTGTAGTGGTTGCTGATAATGTAGCTTCACAGACCAGTCAGACGTACTAGCCTAAACTTTCTCCTGTTACAGGCCGGGGAGTTTCACTCAGTATGTGCCATATGCAGATTCTACTTTTTGGGTGAAAGTAGGTAGTTTTAGTCTGTGATAGAAAAAAAAAGAATCTATTATTTACTTAATGACTTCAAACAAGAAGCAGCCCAGATTTCAGAGTCCATTATTATCAGATATCTTATTTACGTAAATATTTACAAACTACTGTCTAGTCACTGCTTCATCTTTGTGTTACTCCACTAAAAAGATTAGGCTTTCCACAATTTTCACTGGGAGCTTTTTTGATTTTCCAGTTTACTCCTCCAGCTTGGTTTGCAGACAAGTAGTGCTTTGTAGGCAGTCAGATGGCCAGAAGTGGAGTGAATGAAGTATGTACAGATCAAAACCAGAAAGAAAGAAGCACATGTGAAGGCAAAACAACATTGAAATGCTTGGTGTGGGAAAACAGTAATGTTACCTGGCACGTCCTGGCAAGAGCAGGGATTTTAAGCTGCTGTGTGGTGCGTGCTGCTGAGGGGGTTTTGCAGAGACCTCACACCACAGCAGTTCAGAGGTGAAATACTCTTTGGGATTCTGCACAGCATAGCGGGGGGAGAGAGAGAGAGAGACAGAGAGAGAGAGAGAGAGGGAGGGAGACAAGCTTCCCAAAGTACCCAGTTGAGGTGCTGTGAGCTGGACCCTCTGGGACAAGCACAAGGTGATGGTTTTGCAGCAGGGAAAGATGGCAGGAGCTCCCCTGAGTCGCTGGTGCTCTGCTCTCGTCTTACACTGGAAGAGGACTCAAACACCTATCAGGCTCACACCTGACTGTCTTATTTATTTATTTTTTTGCTGCCCTGACCAGCTTCCTCACTGAGTTTGCTGTTAGCTGGGCCAGTATAGAGAATACAGAGCAGGCCCAGGACTGCACCTACGTCAGGCACATCCTGCCGTTGCAGCTGCGGTGTGAGCTGGGTGAACCCTCACCCCTGCGGCTTCCTCGAGCCTCTGCACAGGAAGCACAACAAGGATGTCACACCCTAAAACCAACCCTGTCCAACAGTCTCCTGACAGCAACATAAGTGCAACCTCCTCCAGGGAGGGACGACAGGTTGCTCCCACACCTCGGCAGCCCTAGGTGTACCTTGGTGGATCCGGCTTCTCCTCCTACTGCATGTGAGCTCATTAGAAACACCTTGCTGCTGGGAAGCAGCAGTTCACAGTGGAGAGGTTTTACAGGCATAACTGTGACTCTGGACCTGCCCTGTCATGTCCAGGTTGGAGTGGGGCTCACCCTCCCTGGCTCGCTCCGGTGCAACCCTGAGTTTCAAAAGGAAACGGAGAAGCAACACAATTTTTAAGGGGCAGAGAAGTAATTGAGTAATTGCCTTCACAGTTACATGCTCAGCTTTCTACTGTTTGCACAAATGAATCACAAACAGGAAGATTGCTACCACGGGAAACCTTGGGCTACCTCTCGAGGCAGAGATAATCGTTCATCTCATGCTCAGGCAGTCAGTAAACAAACAATAGCACTTTACACTTCATTTGTCAGCCTACAAGGCATGGGTTGTGTTCATGTTTTATCTCTGCACTCGTCTTACACAGTGCTGTCATGCAATTTGCACTGATTTTTTTTGAATTAGCAATAATTATAAGTAGAAACACACCACTGAGTAAATTATAGAGTCACTTGCCATTTCCCCAAGCAGCACACTGCTGCTCTCTGCTTCAGTTCTTATACTCATCTGCACCTGCTACAGGGAAAAATTCAAGATGACGCAAATTCAAAATATAATCAAAAGCAAGCTGAACCAGTCCAGAGAAAAGTGGTCAGAAATATTTGTGCTTTACCAATACTGTGCTATGAGCTGGACTAATCAGCTTTATCTGTATTTTTCAAGCTACATTTTCAGATCCTTGCTACAAATACCTGAATGATACGGCAAGAAGATTTTTTTCAGTTTAAAGCACAGTGCCAGTCACATGCATTTTTGTAAAAGTGTTGATGTCTGTTTGCTTGCCCCAGCAAGGTCCCAAGAGCTGTCTGGTAATTTCTAAGAACTCAGAAATGTCACAGGAGGACAAGCCGGTCCCTGTGTGCAGCAGAGATCACTGCTTAGTGCCACTCAGCATCTAAGTAGAAGAGGATGACACAACATTCAGCTTTGGGGAATGCAAAACCCAAAGAGACATTGGCTCTAGTTTGCCATTCAGTGGTCCTTCTCTGAGGACCATTCTCAGGAGCACTGAGTGATTCCTGGCACCCTGAAAAGCTAATATAAATATTAATGGCATCAACCAACACCTCGGGACTGAGGTGATGAATCTCTGTTCCTGTCACATCATAGACTGTACAAATAGGGCATGATCATTTACTCTGAAGTGCCTGAAATAACTCAGGAGTCTCTTCCAGCCATTTTTGAATGCCTTTAAAATTCCAGCCATTATGCTCACAAGAAACTGCATTTGCTCAGCCTGTTCTTTGTTTCTGGTCCCTGAACATGATCTCCACTCAAATACAGTCTCAGTTTCAAAGCCTATGGAGGACATAGTTCTTCCATAAAGCATCTGTAGGCTGCACAATATCTATAAATTTCAGTATGTAGCCTGGAAGCCAAATACAGGTAATGGAAACAAGGACACTTTTATAGGCATGAGCTTATAATAATTTAAAACCTGAATACCGAATGGAACAACAGAACAACTAAAACTCTCTGATTTACATTGTCTTCTTTCAACGCAGCCATAAGTAAGCACAGTCAAAAATCATAGTCAGGAAAGTATGAGACAGGAGGGAAAGGTAGTTATGATATCCTATGCCACTTGTTGGCAGCCAATATACTGGGAAAAATGTTTAATATTGTCTAAGGAAGAGCCACGTGGGAATAGCAGGGATTACTCTTTAAAAGCACATCTTCAGCTCAGCCTATACGAGTAGAAGTCCCGGCTATATCCACACCTTAGCAGAATTTCTGCAAGGAAGATGCTGTCTTAAAGATATCCATAAACCAGTTCTGAAAGCTGATTTCATAGAAACATTTCTCTGTTGAGGAATATTTCTATAAAAGCCTTGGTGCTGTGGAATGAGATCCACTCATTTTTTCAAATAACAGCTGATCCCTAAAGTGTCTTGCTCTTCTATTACTGCACCTTAGTGTCGTGTCCAGTGCCTGTGCCTATTTATTTCCTATACTGTGATGCTCCAAAATCTGTTAGTAAGCTCTTCAAAACTGATATATGTACACATATCAAATGCATCATATTGGATCATCAGTGAGACCACAGTCCCCTCCAGTTCTACTGGAACTCAAGAAAACCAGATCCCACTAATGCTGTTACCCTGTTGTCAGCAATACAGAGGTACGAGCAGGATCAAGCCTAAGACCTTGGCTTATAAGGTTCTTTATAAAATAATCACTCTGCTGAAAGGCTTCAGTGAACCCAGTCTTGTGTTACAATAGACTTTCTTACAGCCTCCCTTGCTTCTGGCCATTCCTTATTTATATCACACAAATTACTCGGCTCATTAGTCTGCCATTCTAATAGAAGTCCAGTTGAGTTTAGTTTATTTACTGTTTGTTAACAGCCCTTTCTTTTAAAAACAACATACATTTGTCTGTGTTTGCAGAAGTCTGGAATAGAATGGAAGCAAGGGAGTAAAAAAATTCATCAGGGCTTTTAAAGACTTTAATCATTCACATAAACAGCCAGATGACTGCAGTCATTCAAAATAAAAATAAAATCAAAACACACAGACTTCCCTAGGCAAGTGGATAGCTCTTAAAATGACTAGCCAGATAAAGGAACAAGCTAGTTAAAAGAATATTGACTGAACCATACTGCTTTTAGGAAAAACTGATAATGAGAGAGAGCACAGAATAAGATAGAAGGATCTTCCAAGTATTCTGGCTGCACTGAAACATAACAAAGCAGATTGCTTCCACTAAGGAGGCTTCAGTTCTTACTGTTCTTCTTAAAGGGGTTGTGTCAGCAGGATTTATTATTAAGGTGGACATAAGCTTGCCAAGGCACTCAGCTTTATGTTAAGAGGCCTCAGTGCAGACTTAAGGTACCAGTTTGATATTGTGCATAACTTCAAGTAGATGCTCAACTTCAAGCTCTGTTGTTCCCTCTGTTGATCCTAATGAAATTATCAATTTAGATTGCCTACATTGGTATGGCAGCATGAACGGGAGCCTCTGACTTAGGGGCTCATGCCCTGCTCGACATGTGTGGTGTATCCTGTCAGGAAGACCATGTCAACACATGGACAATTGCTTCTGATATCCTTGCAGATGGTTTCAAAGGACATATGTTAGAGAGCTGAGTCTGGGCAGTTGGATTTGAAAACTGTGGCCTAAACAAATTGTTTAAAGGAGTAAGGCCAAATTTTCCATGCTAAATTTTTTGCTGTGACTTTTCATATGGGGATCTGCAACAGGTCAAGTTCTGTTAGAAAACAACAACAAACCTATCTCTAGACAACTTCAGCCAGTTCCAAGAATGGAGCTGGGAAAAAAGAAAAGGCTGTTTGCCACATGGTAAGAAC